CAGTCCACAGATGGGCAGTGTCATACGAGAACGTTATGTGACTAACAGTGCAACCATGATCTCCTTCGGCCCTGACCGACAAAGTAAGTCCAAAGACAGCACATTATAGGTCATCCTGCCACAGTGCTGGGAGGCTGACAGCGACCTGCCACATATCATGTAGCTCATCAGTGATGGCTCCAGGGCTTGTCAGGCCCTCCAGATGACTGCAGGGTGTGCCTCCAGCCACACTGCCAGCTGCCTCAGGAATTTCTACTCTTTCCACGGTGGATGTGGGCAGAAAGACACTAGTTGTGGCCTGCAGAAAACTCGAAGGGATCTTGAAGTACTGACTCCAGAGCCAAGCCCACAAACAAAGATTTTCCCATGCTGTCTTTTCAGTAGCTATGGAGGAGAAAGAACCGCTAGGCTTTAATTGAATTTTTGCTTAAGATCACATCAAACTTCTCAGGGATCTCAAATAGCTAAGTAATGCATATTCTTTAAACTCTTATGGATTATAATCACTAAACCTTTCCAAATCTTAGATATTCTTATCTAAAATTTCACAGACCACCACTGGTGCAGGCTATATTAATACAGTACAGTTAAATGATAAAAGCATCACTTTAAGGCAAAGGTATTCATTAAAATAATCAGGGTTGAGAGACAGAATGCAGAAAGAATACCACACACATTCACAGTTGCACAAGATAGAAAGCCAAGTACATCCACTGTGCATTACTTCTAAAGGCAAAGGGTAGACCAAATATTTTATCTAACCACGGATAGCATTAATAAGCAACTTTTAGTATTTCTTTATGGCATAACTTCTGCTTTCAGTGGTGCTGAGGGACGGACCCCACCGCCAGTGCACGTGAGGTGCGTGCTCAGTCAACTACACCCCAGCCTCTTTATGCTAAACCTCTCACAGGGCAAGCAAAAGGCCCAATCTTTCTTTGAAAGAATTTTAAAAAACAAATTAGACTGCTTTCAACTCTAAAGGAATGGGAATATAAGTTAGCATAACCCAACAAAGAAATCAATATGGAGAGCCATCAAAAAACAAAGTAGAAATTCCCTTTGCCTCAGCTAGTCCCTTCCAGGTATCTTCCCAAATGCATTTAAGACACAGTATTACGACAACACATGCATATCCATCGGGGGTTTTTTTGTCGTTGTTGTTTGGGTTTTTTGGTAGAACGGGATGAACTCATGCCCTTGCATTTGCCAGAACATATCCATGTTTATAGCAGCACAATTCATAACAGCTAAATAAAAGAAAATACGGTGATGACACTAAAGGATTACTCCTCTGCCACAAAAAAGAACCAACTTCAGTAATCTGAAGGACAACGGATGCACCTTGAGGCCGTAATGTTAAATGAAGCAAATCAGACACACAAGCTTAAATAGCGCATGGCTTCTCATATGAGAAACCCAAATACAAACAAAGAGCAAAATAAAAGACAACAGGCAGTAAGGAGAGAGTTTGTGCCAATGGAAAGAAGACCAAGAGACAGAGGGAGGTGGGCAGAAAGGGAGGGAAAAGGGGTAACAAAGAACTAAGAAGTGCTACGTACATGCACCGACTCCACACAAGGAACATTACGTACTGCAATCATCGACTGATATAACTAATAACTGGGGAAGAAAGGAGCAGGATATTTGTGACCATGAGAACCTGAATTTAGGATACATGTGCAAAAATCAGTAGCTGATCAAATACTATTACCTAAGGGGTAGGACACCATCACGCTTTGCAAGTGAGATTGACTTGGGGAACAGTAACAGACAGAGGCCAAAGAGAGGAAAATAAATGAATATTAAGTGGCCAAGCTCTTCAACACATTCTCTAAGGACATTTCATTCTACTGGTGCAGAAAGGACATATAAATTTATAGTTTCATGCTTTTACAACAAATGACAAAAAATGAAGTCTGATTTTGGAGAGGAACCTTTACTTGATACTTTAATGTATCCTTTACTTGATACTCCAATGGTGCATTGTAACAAAACATTTTAAAGCTTAAAACCAATCAAATAACCAAGAAAAACTTTTTAAAAACCAAATCAATCATAACTCTCTTACACTATATATCTTAAATTAGTTACACGAAGAAAATATTAATCAGTGAGTAAAGAGTAAGATTCTGAGATTTTTAAAAAATTCTATTGGGTATGTAAAATTAGTAGGGATATAAACTTTTTTTTTTTTTTTTTTTTAACAAGGCTGCCTTTTTAATCACAATCAAATCACCTTCTGCAGTCCACGAGGACCCCTGAGCCCAGCCAGCAACCAGGGCAGGAAGTGCAACCAAGCTGAGGATGGGATTGGAGAGGGGCCGAAGGCTTCTCACCCTCCTTGCTGCTGGCCCTGAGCCTGAGGAGCCCAGAGCACCGTCTCCTCTGAGGTCAGCCCAGCCTCCAGCTGCCCTGGGAAAGGGGTGGCAGGGGGAGTGGGGAGCTGGAGGTGGGGACTGCATCACACACACATGCAGACTTTCCCAGTGTTTGATTTTGCTTGTTCTCCTCCTTTCCTAAAATGATCAGATAGTTGTGTGAAGCCACTGCCAAGCCAAGGGTGAAGAGGAAAGTGGTGCCAGGCCATGGCCCTCTGCTCCTCAGGAGTCTTGGGTCCATCCTACTTCTGTATCTGAAAGAGGAAGAGCCGCAGGTTGATGTTCTTGGCAGCTAGCAGCTTGTTGCACTCCACAGAGTCGATGATGGGCAGGGGCACATAGTCTGTCTCATTGCTCTCATTGGTGAAGACAAAGTGGTAGATAACAGGACTGATCCTCACATCATCGTATGGGCCCTCAAGCAGCAGGAAGGAGCATTCCAGGGGCGCTGTGACTTTACTCTTGAGGAGGAGCTGGAAGGAAAGCGTACGCTTGCACGACAGGTTGGGGTTGCGCTCTGAGTCATTCACACGAGCTTTCAGGACCCATGTCTGGTTCAGCACTGTGAACCGTGGTGTCTCATAGTAGAGGCGCGTGATAAAGTCATCTGTGCGATATGGCCGGAACTGGACTTCCAGATACAGCAAGTTCTACTTGTCACAAGGCAAGTCAAACAGGATTATGGCAAACGGAGGCGCACAAGCTTTGGAGGAACAACTGTGTAGCCGATTTTCTCAAAGCTGAGCAGGCTAAAGATACTGTTGTAGAGCTGCATTTCCTTGCGATGGCTCTGGTCCATTTCATCTAATATCTCCATCAGCTCGTTGCCTGTCTTGGTTGGGTGGGCACATGCAGCCTCATGTACTGTCAGCTCATGGAAAGGGCCATGCCATGGACAGCCAATGCGCTTGT